TAGGACTACGAAGGAAAAATATATTAATAATAATAAAGAAAAAATATTTTATTCGAATTATTATCTGTTGTTGTTATTATTATTATTATTTGTTATTATTAATATAATATTCGAATTATCGAATTATTGATTTTATTATTATTATTATTGTTATTATTATTATTATTATTATTATTATTATTCGAATTATTAATTTTATTCGTTGTATTTCACTAAATTTTTAATTTTAAAAGGAGAATATGAATTAATTGGCCAATAAATAAGATTTTGAGCAAATTTAAAATCTCAGAAGAACCACTATCAAACTCATTTCCTAATCTCAAACCGTTGCTATATCCCTGTTGCTTTTTTAAATAGTAATCGAATTACACTATGGGCCATCGGAAAAGTATAAGGATTTAGGGTTTAGGTTAAACAATTGATCTGATGGCGGTCAATCTTTGTTACAACAAACCATTATTATATTATGAACGATTGATCTAATGGTGGAATAATCTTGTTACGCGACAAAACAGAAAACATTACATAATATTGTTTTATGATCTTGTTACGCAACCAAGGAAAAAAACAAATCATATATTAGAATATTATTATTATTGATTTTAAAAAATAAATAAAATAAAATGTATATTTATTATAATAAAATCAAAATGTATAATATGTATAAGCTAAATACACAACAAATGCAAATTATGTGATGATGATGAAAATTTGGAATTAGATCAGTCTAAAAGATTGATTTATTGATGTTTATAATAATAAAATTTTTCTTGTTTTGTTTCAGGGCGGTGCTAAAAAAAAACAAATATAACCAATTAAAAGAATAAGTCCAAGGGTCAAAAGCTTGCTAGAAGTTATGTTTTACACAGTAACAATAAATCCAAACCAAAAATGACAGCTAAAATAAAATATAGAACATGTAGAACAAGGTGAAGAACTTCTGAAGACTTCTACCATTGCTAATTGGATATATGCAGGCTGGAAAAAAAATAGCAAAAGAAGCATCGGATTTACTATTTTATCTGATATGATAAAATACTATTTTTTTGACCTTTAAATCTGACGTACGCACACAGAAAAGTTTTTGGAGAAGGAAAGAATAAAATTTTTTTACATATATGAATTTAATGGGATAGAGCACATGATATCATGTGTAGCATCGCAAATTTCTTTCATGCTGTACTCAATATGATACTACCTACCACCTGCTGTTTTGGCAAAAGACCGTTATAGGGAATTTACAATCATAATCGTGTGACCAATTCACAATGTGATACAAGATTTTTATTTATATTTGATAAACATTAATATATACATTTTAAAAATAAAAATAAAATATTATTTGCATTAAATATTTTGAGAATAATACAATTTATTTGTTTCAAGATCAAAAAAATTGGATCGATTTGATGCAAATTGGGCCTTTATATACATTTTTAAAGGAGTGTTAATCACGAAGTAGTAAGAAAGTCGAAAAGCTGTTTTTATGTCATATTTACAAATAATTACAGTAAACCTATATTATGAATCAATATTATATAGTAAGCCATAATGATGTTATTATGATTCTTTGGTTATGAATTATAACCATTTAGATATATAATGTGAAGGCAATGACGATAAATGTTTGAATAATTACGATAATAATAATGATATATGTATAAAGTAATGTTATGAAGATATGAAATAAGGATGATGTATATGTGGAATAATGTTGACAGATGTATTGTTGTTATAATAATAAACATCAAGAGAAATAAAAGTACATTTAACCAATATGGAAAATTTCATATCATAATCGTCGGTCGTTATATAAAACATATAGGTGAATTTCAGACAGGCTGTTATACATTATAGGAAATTTGATTAAAAGACCATTATAGAGTAAGGTTTTTTATGTAGTATTTTAAAAAAGATCGTCAATTAATGCTTTTTAATAAGGATTCATATATTTATTGTAAAGACTGTATATGGCTGAAACCCATCAATTAGTTCTCATTTAACTGTCAAAAGGTTAAAATGTAAATCACTATCAGAAAGAGTACTATCACGGGAGAGTTGTTTATTACACGCCATTTAATTCTCTGCAATGATCATGAATAGCTGTTATTATATAGCACAGATCACTTCCAAAAACGCTGCTAATCTTTAAACGCTGATACTTTTCTAAACTTTTAAACATCATCAAAACTCTCTGTTTTTGCAACATTCTAGACCTGAAAAATAATGCAAAGGTAAATATTTTACAATACAAAATAAACTATTAAACAAATTTCTTTTTCATAACCAGGGTGTAAGTATAGAACCACAGAATTGACGTGCTAACCAAATTTAAAATTTATAGCAATCAAATTGACACACAATTAATAGCGCGTTTCCAGCTAAGCCCTTTTTTAGCCTAAGAAGGCTAGTAAACTATACATTAAACGTTGTACAAGTTGGCCTAATTTTTAAAAAGTTTTGGTGGGAAAAAAACTACAAAAAAGGATCTCAATGTATTACTATTACTGAAATTGGTACTAGTACATTTACGTTTTAAATGTACCCCATTTTCTCCTATTATATTTATTCAATAACAATTTTTATTATTATCAATATTACCAGAAAAATGAGACTTGTATATAAATTGGTAGTGAGATGTATAATAATGCAATAGTTAAGTTAATTCTGATAAGAAAATGGAAAAGATTAATTTTTTTTAATTAGTCAATAAGCGGCTTTCTAGTTTATTTGTGAGGTAACAAGTGTAAATCAACAAGATACTCTGATAGATTCTGTGAAGGTTGTATTACAAAGTCTTTTTCACTACTTGAACACCTGGAAATAAGATAGTTGATGATTGTATTCAACAATGTCAAATGAAACCATCATCCCTGCCAAGATATATTTTAGAATGAATTCTTTGAAAAAGTAACAAAGTTGACAGAAGGTGGATTTAGTTCAATTTATACTGCTACATTTACAAGGGTGGTTATGTTGTAAATCAGTTATTTTGGTAATTCTTATTACATTAATTAATTATATCTTACTTATTGTTAAATTTAAATTGATGCCTAAAAGAATCTTAAAAAAAAAGTTAAAAATGTGAAAGTGGCAAAATGTTGACATATTGTTATTTTGTTCGTATGATGTTCCTGATAGATTGTCAATAAGACTATTGTAACGTTTGTTCCCAAGACTTACATCTGGCGCTTGCCAACACACCGCAGTACGGAATTTCTCTCTTCCGTTTTTAGCCTGATTTCATCAATAAAACGCTTCACTTATCCCTACAAAGGTTGTAAACTCCGTGGGTGTGTCAATTGTATCTATAAATGGTTTGATTCCGAATATTCCAAAGTGGTTATAATGAACCAATCCTTGTATGACGATTTTGACTCACATAACGTGTACTAATCAATAATAACAAATAATAATAATGTATAACAATATTAAATTCCGAGTCGCTTCCATGTCACCAAACACAAGTTTCTAACTTGAAAGTATTCTTTTCTAAGAAGATATATGCGTGTAGGGAACTCTGGTTGCAAATGATATTAATATATATTCGATTCTCCGGAAATTGGAAATGCAGGTTAAAAAGCATGCAGAGTCAAAAAATCTATATACCATGCTGATCAAAATTATTAGACGATGCATAGAATTATGATTTAGGACTCTTTAAGAGAATTGTTGATAATAATTGGTTTATTATATGCCTGCCTATGAAATGAGACATGCTATAATTTCCTTTATTGCATGCCATGACTTCCATAGGCATGCAATGACGGAAATTATAAGATGGATGTCATACGTTCATTTCAAAGTCCGACACCAGTTATTATAGCATGCTTTATTCGCTGATATTCCAAATAATGCCACAGACGTGCTCTAATGTATGCTTCGCACTCTTATTTATTGTTATTATTTATTAAAGATAAAAATAGTATAATAAAATGCAAGTTTATTTAAAATTTACACAGGAGAAATCAATAGAATTTTTAATAATTAATACGCGCGTACATATTTACAAAATATTTATACATATAATATCTTAAAGATTCACTTTGCAAGTAGTACCAATCAATGATTAATGATTTTGACTGGTGGATTGTTTAATATGCATTATATGCATGCATTATGTTATCAGATTTTATATATTGTGTGTGCTGTAATGCATTGATGTGCTTTTTCAAGGAGTTGTATTAGGAAGAAGCTGTTTCGAAATTAAAATTAAAGATTTCACGAAAAAAAAAAAAAAAAACTCTAATTTTTGATATTGTCCTGGAGTTATTTTTAGTCCCACCATTGTATTTCTATTTATAAAAATTTTCTATATTAAGACATTTTTCACTCCTCATGTATCTCCCGTTTGAGAAATGTGAATACAGTGATAATTATATTTGGTGACATTTCATATATTTCGAGCATAGTAATATGATGTGATGTTTGGTATATCATTTCACTTCATTTATTTCTTATAAACTTTAATTTATTTTCTAAAGTTGTGTAATGGTCATTGTCAATAATTTCCGAATTTAATTAACCTCATCTCCGTAAACAGGTTTCAATTTAAAATTTATTTTACTATTGTTCAGTATTGCCTTTTTAGGATAGATTAGTGAAAACAATAGTAATAGTTGTTTTAAACGATCGGGAATAATACTAATCAAAATTGGAAAAATTATTTATTATAAATTGGCAATGTTTTCGTCAGATTCTTTTTTTTTCTTCGTCAAAATAATAAAGGTTAAAAAAATAATTTCTTTTGTAAATACTTTCACATCTTTTTTGTTCCGCGAATAAAAAAGGTTTCTTTGACGTTTATTTTTAATTTTTAATTTCTTTTCTTTTTTTATCTTTAATTTATAATTTTTGGTTTTTGATAAATCAAAAAAAAAAAATCAAAAAAAAACAATAAAATCTTGTAAATTTTTTCCAATCTCAACTTTTAATTTTTATTTCACGTTTTGTTTAAATTTAATTTTCCCTTTCAATTAAAAAAAAAACCAATTAAAAAAATGCAAGAAACAATTAACGCTAGCCTTAATAATAAAATCAATGACTTTAGCTCATGCCAACACATCAAAAGATATTTGGATTCTGACGGATGGTGCAAAAAATGTGCACTAAAAAATAATAAATGGACAAGTGGAAATGTCCATATTGATAAATTTATAAAGAAAACTCAAAAGAAATCTAGTAAATGGACCGATAATTTCTTGGAATGGATTCCATTCGAAAACTTTGAAGCTAAAAGCTTAAAGAAAATTGGCAGTGGATGTTTTTCCAACATTTATCGTGCCACTTGGTTGGACGGTAAAAGAGTCAAATCTGCAAATAAAACTGTTTGTGCCCGATCTTCTCCAATCACCGTTGTTCTAAAAAGTATTAAAAATTCTGCAAATATGTCTGAAAAATATGTCAAAGAGGTAAATCTATTATTTTCATAAATATTACATTTTATTTGATTTTTTTTTTTTTTTTCGAATTATCCCATTCATTATTATTTTTCTTTATTTATAGTTGGAGAAATATTACAAATGCACGTTGGTGAAATCCAAAAAATGTTCAAGTCATTTTGTGGAAATCTACGGAATAACATATGACGTTAAAGCCGACGAATACATATTAGTAACCCAATATTCCGAATTTGGTAATCTTAGAGACTTTATCAAAGAAAACAAGTTCAGTAATATTAGTTGGTCACAAAAACTTTGGTGGTTGTGCGACATCACTTCAACTCTTGCCACCATTCACAAAGAAGGTCTGTTTCATGGAAATTTACATCCTGGCAATATTTTACAAATCGGTGATGACGTTAGAGAAACTCGATCCACCCTTGTTGATATTGGATTATCAATGCCTGCCAATGATAATTTCGCTGATTATAACGAAGCCCTTGATAATAACGACGATGAAGGTTTTTATGGAGTGCTTCCTTATATTGCTCCAGAAGTGTTAAAAGGAAACAAGTACACCAAAGAATCCGATTTGTACAGTTTAGGAATCCTGATGATGGAATTTTCAACAGGAGAACCACCATTCTGCGACAGACCACATGATCAAACCTTGATCAAAGAAATTTGTGAAGATCACTTGAGACCCAGTTTCTTGGAAAATACACCAAAAAAATTCAAAGACTTGGCATTACACTGCACCGATCCAAACCCATCAGTGAGACCACCTGCCAAATTATTATTATATGTATTTAATGATTGGTGGCAAGCAGCTGAAAAAGCAGAAAATTACGAAATAGGTCGTCAATTCAAAAGTTCAAACGAATTTATCAAGAATATGGATGATTTCAAGGTGGAACTTGAACCCCAAGCCATTTATTCCAGCAGACAATTTGATTTCACTGATTATAATAATATTATTATTACTAATTATGTTGATGTGAAATATGATAATGCCAGAGATAGTAGCAGTAGTGATGTTAGGAGTAGAAGCGACAGCACAAGCAGCAGTGGCAGCAGTTTTGATGATGATGACGATGATATCGATGATTATTATTGTTATCAACCTCGTTATCAAGATGATGACGATGAAATGTTTTCTTCTTCATCTTCAATGTTTCATAGCAGTGAAAACAACAAATTTGAATCCAAATATTTACTTGATCTTAGCGCACCACCTAAATTCAATTTAAATTTCGAAAGAGAAAAGAAAAATTTCGACTTTATGTAAATAATATTTTCATTTTTTTAAAAAAAGAAAAACCATCTTTCAAAGTATTTTTTTTTTTTATTAATTTAATTTTTTTTTTTTTCAAAAGTAATGTTTAGCTTTTAATTTTTAATTTAATTTTTTTTAATTTTTTAATTTAATTTTTAATTTTTAATTTAATTTTTTAATTTTTTAATTTAATTTTTTAATATAATTTTTTGTAATTAATCTAATTTGTCCTAGTCGTAATTATTTTTTTAACCTTTAATTTTTGACCGGATCAAAAATAAACAATCATAACAATGACTGATAATTTTGTACAATAATCATTTTTTTATAATATTGTTGCTTAATTCCTTAACAAAATGTTTCAAGTACCTGATAATATAAATAAATAAATGGCCAACTTATATCGAGTTTACATAAATTCAAGGAAAACAAATTGTTATATGGATGTTCAAAATTACAATTTTGGTGTTAAAATCCCACTTTTATCAGAAAAGTGTGCCCTTTCTTCGGTTATATAAATAGAATATTTTTTAAAGAATTATCTTTATGGTTGTTATACACTGTGTTTAGACCGGAGTCTATCTTCCTAATTTGAAAATTTTTCAAAATTAAGGATTTTCAAAACAATATCAATAAAGTTGTTGAATGTACATATTTGGCCGTTAATATAAATAAAAATAAATAATTAAAGAAAATTCAAGAATCACTTTTTACCCAAATATGGAAATAACTTTCGCAATAAAAATACTGGTTCACGTACTTTCCAAGTTATTAATTATTGATTTCCCTTCCTTTAGAGCAAAATTGAAAAAGAACAATTTATTAATACTACTAGTATAACAGATTCTTTCTTTCTTTTGCCACATTCTTCACTCCTTTGCTTTCTTCTCCCTTCTCCCCCCCCCCCTCTTCCCTCTTTCCTCTCCCCATATCCCATCTTTTGTTCATTCTTTCATCTATTCAACTTTATTTTTAAATAAATAGAAATAAAAGAAAATATGAACTACAAAAATGTTTTTGTCATATTGCTTACATTTCTATCCATGCTGGTTGAATCTAAACCACAACAAGAATCCAAAAAAACAAATACATTTACCAACTTCGCCACCACAACCAACAACACCATCGTCACTGATACCGCTTCAGATGCTGGCCCTACGATGAAACTATCAGATAGACAATTACTTGTGTTGCTTGGGATGACTATTGTATCATTGAACGGATTGTGTGCAAGTTACGTTATTATTAGAACCCTGAAACGCTGGTGTGCTACTCGCACTTCTTTGCCAATGGCTTTAAGGGTTCCTTTCTATATCACTATGTCAGGTAAAAAACATGCTTAGACGCGATAAATACGTGGTTTTTTTTTTTATTTAATTTACTAATTTTGATTCATCGATTTCTATTTATTCCAAATAAACAAATAACAGATTTTCTACTATTCGTAATTCATTTTACAAATCACGTAAGTCCATTCATTATAATAATAATCCAATCCAAAATATCCTCTAATTAAATTGATTCGAATAGATTCATGTTTTTATATACGGAGAACCATGGCCAGAAAATCCACAATGTAAAATAATAGGCGGCCTAACTTTCTTCTTTGTAGCTTGCCATATGTTACTGGTGGAATTATTGGCACTGTTCACCTATTTAAGAGTTTGTCGTGGTAAAAGAATTGATTTGTCAATATTTGATTGGAAAATGTTCATTTTGATTTTTTCCATTTCTTCGTTGCTTACTTTGATCGGAATACCGAGTTATGGATCCGGAAAATATTGGTAAATATCTAAATAGCGATGGTGTCGACGATGTGATATTGGTTATTACATAAATTTACAAAAAAATATATATTCTTTTTAGGTGTTTTGCGACTAATAAAAACAGTATTGCAGTGCCAATTATTTTAGTAATAATGACCTACACGGTATTGGGAGCAACGTTATTTTTTTATATAATGACAATTAGAAAAGTAAATTCCGTTCTCCAAGATGCAAATGGTGATAATGATGATAATAATAATAATCGAGTATTGAAATACGAGTCAATCATTACCAGAAAGATTGCAACTTATGTTCTAATCTTTATAGTACAATGGTCACCTTCAAGTGTTTATGTGTTTGGTCAAATCGTTGGTGTAAGTTGTTGTTTTAAAAAAATGTTTTTTGTTTTTTTTTTTTAATGATTTATTAATTTTTATTTTTTTGAATAGTATGCACATATTTGGGTTTATTTTGTAACAGGTAATCAATTATATAAATATATAATTTTTTTTTATCAAAGCACAATTTTTTTAATTCACTTTGTATGATGTAGAAATGACGATAAACTTGGGTGGTATCCTCAACATGATACAGTATATAATAAATGAAGGATTTAGCGACAATTATAATACCAATAAATCTGATTCTAGATCCACTTCTAAATCTAACAACAATAGCAACAACGGCGAGATTAACAAATATAATAACTTAAACTCTGGCTCAGATTCAGATTCAAATTCTTTAATCACTGCCAATTTAAGACATGATGGTGATGCAGACAGAGGTAAAGATTTTGTTGTCGTGGATCTTAACGGCAACAAGAATGAGAAGATGGAAGAGAATTTAGATAATGATAAAGAAAGTTACTTGTCATTTGAATTTGAAAGTTATTACCATTAATTTATTGATTTATTAATTTATTAATTACATATATATAGACATTAAATGGAACATTAAAGATTTTATTGCATATTCACATCATTAATTAATGATTTCTGATTAGAATATATATCATTATTATGACTAATTGATAATCTAGTCCAATATTAGACGCATAAACATTGCAATAGATGCTTCATCTTGCAGTGTTGGACTTATAATACATCTAGAATGAGAAAAAAAAATTTATTCGCAAACCGCACCTTGATTTAAATTAGTAATTTTCTATGTTTGACATCCATTAAAATATATTGTTTGCTTCTTTAAATTGAATAATGAGCGTTCCGTCATTACCATTAATAACTTGATAAAAAAAATTTTTTGGAAATGTTGTATGTGAAATTGAAATTATGTGAAATTGAAATATTATGGAGTGGGGTGAAATTCTGATTGGCTAATTTGAATTTCACGTATGTAAATTTGAATTGCGAATTCACATAATTTCATTTTCACAACAGAAACAAACAATTCGATATTAATAGTTTTTATTCTAAAAATAAAATTATTAACATATATTAAAAATTTTGTATGCCAAGATTAGTAAAAAAGGTTTGTAAACAAAAAAACTGGAAACATAAATTCCCGCACCAGTGGCCCCACATGACCTATAGCGCAATAATAAGTAACAGGTGGATTGTTGTTATTAACAAGTGAATAATACAAAGATTATTAAAGAAATAATCATGTTCCACGGTTAATTTTAAAACATGCAGCGGATGATTTTTGTGAAAAAATAAGATGATAATAATAATAACAGAATAATAATGACATAATAATAATGACATAATAATAATAATGACAGAATAATAATATTTAATGATAATAATAAATATTTATTTTGGATAGTGTCACGTATAACCAAACCCTTTTTTCGGGTTTCTATTGTATCATGTATTTATTAACTCATTCGTCAATAAAGGTTTTGTGGGTTTCTATCATCATGTTGTGTGTGTGTATGTGTTCATTCAGGAAATAAATCGTTACAGAGAGATGTTAGTATTGTTTGCTCTTGGATATTCATATACAAAAAAGCTGTAACATTGATTTCGTGCGATAGGAAGAAAAAGCTATATATGAATTATTTATAATGAAAATAAACATATGAGGTGTAAACGAGTATGTTTTTTATTGTAAAAAATAAGAATACATTCGAGTAGAAATAAAATTAGAAATTAGCATCAAAACCTAAGAGAACAAATTTAAAATAAATTAAAATAAGTTTAAAAATGCTACAGTGCCCAACAAATACAACAGATAAATATATTTTTTATCTATTTTTTACCTGGCATTGGAAAAGTTGTAGAAAATGATTCCACCTCTTTTTTTAGATTGGAAATGTCTTCATTGTCTTGACATGCAGCAACAAAATCTTTCATCATTTTACTACCTGCTTTTTCCTTGATCCAGTAAAAATTTATTTATTGGTATTTTTTTTTTTTTAATGAAATGAACTGACCAAAATTTCAAATTAATTTTAAATGATACCTGTACAGCAAGAGCTATTTGTACTGCACGATTTAAGAATTCGGCAACTTTTTCAAAATCTTTTTCTTTAAAACTTCTTGATGTCAATGCAGGAGTTCCAAGACGAACACCACCTGGAGATAACATGTTGGTATCACCAGGAACAGAATTTTTATTAATTGTTATGCTAAGTGATTTGAGAATCAATTATATAATATAAATATAAATCTGTTAATATTAATAAAATAGAATGAATAATCATAATAAAAAAAGTATATGTATGTACTTGACCATGTCACATATCTTCTCAACCTTGCTACCGGTTAATTTAAGAGGTCTTAAATCCCAAAGAACTAAATGATTATCAGTCCCTCCGGTTGCTAATCGATAACCATGACTTATAAGAGCATCACCCAAAGCTTTGGCATTAGCGCGAACTTGTTTTGCGTATTGTTGAAATTCAGGGGTAGCGACTTGTTTTAAGGAAACGGCAATTGCTGCAATAGTATTATTATGTGGCCCACCTTGACATGATGGGAAAACTGCATTATTAACACGAGATTCTAAATCTTTTTTTTTTCTAAAAAAAATTAAACCAGCGCGTGGACCTCTAAGGGTTTTATGAGTGGTGGTTGTAACAACATCACAAAGTTCAAAAGGATTATTGGCTTCTTGACCTGCAACCAAACCACCAATATGGGCTATGTCAGCCATTAAAAAGGCATCATGTTGATCTGCGACCTTTCTTAACCTGACATAATCCCAATCACGAGCGTAAGCACTTGCGCCGCATATAATAAGTTTAGGACGAAAAAGATTGGCATTTTCTTCTAAACGATCATAATCAATGATTCCAGTTTCAGGATTGACACGATATGGCATTGATTCAAAATATATTGAAGAAGTGGAAATTTTTTTCTTTGATGTTTGCCAACCATGTGTTAAATGACCACCCGATGGTAAATCCAAACCCATTAATCGATCGTGAGGTTGAATCAAAGCAGTTAAAGCAGCAAAATTGGCTGTGCTTCCAGAATAAGGTTGAACATTCACGCCCCATTCATCAGAATCCAATCTGAAAGCTTGTAAGGCTCTTTTGCGACAAAGACTTTCTACCTGATCAATATATTCATTCCCACCATAATAACGTGCACCAGGAAGCCCCTCGGAATACTTATTAGTTAGTGGTGATCCATTAGCTTCCATTACAGCTTGAGAAGTAAAATTCTATGATAAAAAAAATAATACAGATGAATTTAGTTGTTTCTTTCTGTAAACAAATATAGTCAAACCTCGTTTCAACGAATTAAAATTAAATTCGCGTTACAACGAATTTTTAAAAATTTTGCTTCACATATAAAAAGTATATAAAATTCGTTGAAACGCGATAGTAATTTAGTATAACGAATTTTAGATGCCTGTGTCCGTCCCTACAGATTCGTTGAACGAGGTTTGACTGTATATATATATATATATATACAATGTACCTCGGACGCAATTAACTCTAAACCAGAGAATTGTCTATATTTTTCTTTTTGAATTAATTCATAAATTTCTTTATCTTCTTCATGTAAAGGAACATTAAGACAACTATTCTGTTATCAAACAGTTACAAGATGATTTAATAAAGTGTATATAAATTTTTATTGAAGTAAAAAATATATAATTTACCCATGAATCAACCATGATTAAAAATAATTTTTACACTATAGAAAAAAAAAATCCCAATCTTTTTTTTTTTTTTTTGATAAAAAATAATTAAATATCACGTGTAACATTGGGTCAAATCTAGTCATACATGGAAAAAATTCTTATACTATTTATTATTCAAAGAAATCATCATTTTCAATCATTGTTAAATTAGGATCATCAGCTAATAATAAACAAATGATATGATTGTTATTATTAGTATCATTTTGGGATCACGATTTATATAATTATCATAAAAATCATTATTATTTATCATTTACCTTTAAAATCTTGCTCTTTATGATGATGTTGCTGTTGATTCTTTGGTTTCTTATTTTTTGATTGGTTTTCAATTTTTTGGATGATTTTTAGTTTTAATTCTTCTCTAAATTGTTTATTTAAACTAATAAAATCATTATTTTTCATAGATTCTTTTATTGATTCTCTGATTAAATTTCTCCTTGATATCATTTCTTGATCATCAGCATCTGATGTTGGATAAAGTGATAAATATTTCTTGGTTGTAGGAAAATGCTAAAATAAAATAATATAAAATTATTAATTAAATAATACTTATTAAAGGTTATTTATAGCATTTTAACATCATATTGTTATTATACCATAACATAATTATAATCAATTTTTAATTCTCTTAGCTTTTCTTCTAATTCATTTTTTTCTTGATCATCTTCAGCAGTATCAATTAATTTTTCAGTCTTTTTAATTGCCCTTTCCACTTTTTTTCGATCTAAAATATATTTTGTAAAACTATTATATATAATAATTACATTTTAACCATATTATTTTAAAAAAAACCAATCTTACCAAAATGTTTAACCATACGATATTTAGAAACAATTTCATTTTCTCTTGATGAGGTCAACTTTTCAATATAAATAATCTTTAAAGCTTTTAGTTGTCTTTCTAAACTTAACTGTCCTTTAGCAGAAGATTTTTCTGTTGTCTATATACACGTACCCACAGACACATATGGTAAAAATTAGTATCCCGAATACAGTTCAATTCTAAAAAACTTTTTTTTTCCTCTATTAAAAAAGTTTGACCTGAATGTAATGAAAAATACTCTACTCTTCTTAAGATCCTTTCTGTATCTCGTATTTTCTTTTTTAAAGTAGAAATACTCATATCTTCTGGCAGCTCCGTATCTACTTTTTTGTTTTTACTTCTCTTGTTTATTCTTACTGGTGGCATTTTTGACTTATAAAATAAAATAAAAAAAAAAATGATCAACAAAAAAAATTAAAATTCCTTGTTATTTAACAACTTGTCAAGAATTAGAAGGGGACTTTATATTCCCTTCATAAATAAAACTTTTGCTACTCCGTTTTGACAAACAGCATGTAGAACTAGAATGGCAAATACACTACTAAGAGTAACAGTTTTCAGAAGAAACATCCATATAACGAACAAGATAGAATTTATTACTACTACAATGCAATGACAGTCGAAACAAACTTGTGATAATTTTCAGATTCAAGAATTGCTACTAATGAAGGTTTTGGTTTTTTACACAATGATCAAATAAAATATATTTAATAACAAAATCAATTTTGAAAGAAACAACTTATATAAATAATAAAAAAACAAAAAGAAGATAATAATCTGTTGTTAAATTTGTCTTTTGATAATAACTATAGTGGTGTTTTAACAACAAATAATAATAATTATAACATTTCAATTAATATAGGTGAATATGATGATGATGATGATGATGATGATGATGGTGATGATGGTGATGATGATGATGATAATGATGATGATGATGATGATGATGATGATGATGATGATGATGATGATGATGATACAGAATCATATTTACAAAATAATATCAAAATTCAGCCTTGTTCTTCAAGAGAGAACTGGAAGTTATGTATATATAGTAATTTTAATATTTTGAACATTGTGCTTCATCTAGTTAACTCAAATAACACCAATTGGGATGATGTTATCACTGATAAAATGCAGATCCTCACGACATCAATTCGTCCTAAATTGGATTATACTTGATAACATGCAGTAATATACAGTAATATATTCTTTTATCCAAGAAATCACATTGATTACATCAAAATCGTCAGGAAGTGCTAATGGAATTTTTAATATTTGGATATTTGAATGATAACAACAAAGATGGCAATATAAAGAACCATTTTTTCAAAGGTGTAAAGCAAATAAAGTCAATGATAAAAAAGAACATCCTTGGTCTGATGGAATATTAAGCAAAATAGTTTTTCACATAATAAAATGATCTACATTTCTCTAGACAGATCCTCGTGTTGCACATCATCTATAAACGTCAAAAATGGTCACCTGACTTTAAAAGTTTATATATAGCACAAAATTTTTAAAGAAAGAAATTCTAATGGAACTTTGCAAGAAATCATGGAGATACATGGGTCTATATAGGAATGGAATTATTGATTATTATTCTTTTCTTTTAATTATCATAGTATTATTTTTCAACTAATTTTAAATTATTATATATAGAAAATTATATAACTCATTACCATTAGTGTATCTGTTTTTCTAAATGGTCAATGATTTGACACAAAAAATTTTTTGCGCTTTGCATAATAAAAAATATTACTTAAATTGGAAAGATCTACATTTACTATTGACGTTTATAGATGACGTGCACCATAATACAATTCACCATTACTATATTGAACGTCCACTGTAGTGCGAAAAAAAATTATTGAACGTAGTAATAGTAATAGTAATAGTAAATAATAAATTCGAGTTATTTCTTCAATTAGCTAAAAAATACTTCTTTCAAAAATTAATAATGTCAAAAACAATTTTATTTTATAGAACAAAAGGTAAATATGGCGCATTAAGTAATTTTTATTCTTCTCCAATAATTATTGATGAGTTCACTTGGCCAACCGTTGAACATTATTTCCAAGGTAGTTTATTGTTAATAATAATGACAAATAAACATTCCAAAAAGCGAAAAATTATGAATAATTAATTAATAACTTCAAGTATTTATTTATATGATTAGCTCAAAAATTTAATAAAGAAGATCAAAAAAATTTGCAAGATGAAATTCGATTAGCGTCAACTCCGCACGAAGCCGCAAAGTTAGGTAGAAATTTCGAAGGTTTAAGAAGTGATTGGAATGAAAGCAGAGATTCTGTTATGTTGAAAGCTTTAAGATTTAAATTTACACAGCATGAAGATTTAAAAGAATTATTATTAAGCACAGGAGAGAGCAAATTAATCGAGGACTCACCTAGTGATAGTTATTGGGGTATTGCCACAAAAAATGGTGTGAAGGGTGAAAATAAATTAGGCTTATTATTAATGGCAGTTAGATCGGAGTTACAAAGTGATTTATCTAATATTAATGACGATAAAAATTAAAACATCAATTCTTAGTTATTTTGTTTTTTTGAAAAAAAAAACCTCTTTAAAAGTATTTCAAAGAAAATATATAAATTAATTTATTCGTATTTTTATTCTTTCTTATTATTGTTGTTGAAATTTGTGGTGATGATGATAGTTGGTGTTGGTGATGATGATGATGGTGGTGATGGTGATGATGATGGTGATGGTGGTGATGGTGATGGAAGTTATCTACTCGAATAAGTTTATTCGAATCAAGCGAATGACATTGAATAATTACTATGCTTATTCGAATAATTTTTTATTCGGATCAAACGAATCATTTTGAATTTGAATATTATGTCTACCCGAGACAATTCCTTTTTTGAAACTCGATTTCTGGGGTTGAATTATTCGAATCACTCACATTGAACAATTATTTGAAATGAATGAACGAATAAATTTTTACTTGAATGAATACTTCGACTTACGAATAATTTAAAAACAAAATATTGAATGAGAATATGTGTTTTGAATTAAGGCAGGCTGGTTAAAAAGAATAAAAGATAGTAGATTAATTTTTTTTTTGAAAAAATAGTATAAAGCTGTAGAACAACTCTGACCCTTGTACATACAACGTGCTACTGGGATAATTATAACTTCATGGAATGCCATCATTACTCCAGCTACCTACCATGTTGGAGCCAAGCAGCAGAGTTCTGATATAATTCTGGTGGGCAAATCAATTTAATTGGTGGTTCTTAAATACCTACCTGGCTTATCTCTGCAGCATTGATAATATCTAAAATTGAAATAAAATTTTTTATTGTTGATTAAATTCTATGAAAATATGAAAAATTATACACCAGCAGTCCTAAATTCATTTACCAATTTTGTGGTGCATCTTCTTTTCAACTCGCGATGAAACGATGAATAAGAAAAGTCACCACCAAAGGCAACAATGACATTATGATCAAACCAATCTTTGTTGGAACCAAGGGTTCTACACAAAGTTTCGACATTGCCTTTTGTTTCCAACATGATTATCAAACTTGATAGATCGGAACCCCTTTGCACCATAAAACTCATGCAAGGTAGAATAATGTTCTTGGGTATATTGAACATGGGTTTAAAAGGAAAATATTGAGGTCCGTAATGTAGGGATATTATTAATTGAGTGTGAAAAAAATAAACATGTTGAGTTATTTTATTATATATAATTTCTCATAATTTCTCATTTTTCTATTGCAGCAAATAAATCTCTTCTATTCCAATCACTTGCTTCCTAAAAAGATCAAGGTCAACTATTCCATATTTACCTTTATCCTTCTTCTTAATTTGATCTGTATTAATATAGCAACAGTACCTCCCTCTGTATTGGTATGTACTAAACATTCTTCACATATTTCTGATGGTTTGCTAATTTTAGAATGTCAAAAGGCACGTCTGTCTAGATATGCATATGGACGAAAATTATGGGACAAGGTCAAAAGGTCACGAATTTGGTTGTTATCCAAAGAACATTGTGAGTATTGGAAAATCATTCCGCCATGAATTTTAAGGCTTTCTTTGATAGATCCAGCCTTCCTACAAGCCTTTCAGATCTTCATTTTTGCATATTCGTGTCCAATTCTTCTTCCTTTGCCTCTAATGCAAACATGAATATGCTTTATTAGTTTCCCATTTTCATGTTTCTGGTATTGAGGATGAAAACGAATAAAGATCTGGAGACATTTTATATGATAAGAGTAAGCTGCAAGTGTATTAACGACCGACTGTTAACGGATTAACGTTATGGACCCATTAAGGATATTTGAATCCTTTAATATTAAGGATTTTTTTTTCTTCCAGATTTGTAACGGGTTAATTCCATCAAATAGCAAATATTATTGTTATTAACACGATATTGATAGTATATCAATAGATTAAAAACATTTATTAGAATTTAAATAATAAAATTTTTATTTTTAAAAAAATCTGCATGTTAATAAATTACTAGCATCTTTGACTTGGTATAGATGTTGCAGATACAGATACAGCTTTGTCGAGACGTGACATCAATTTTTTTGTGTTTGGATAGTCGTGTGATGAATAGAGGCTTTTCTATTACTATGCAATCAGTTTCAATATTTTCGAAAAAATTATCTTGTTCATATTGAATAATAAAATAAACTAAATTTATCAATGCGGACAATCAAGGTTGACGAAATACTTTGGCAGGGCGGGAAATTGGAGTTGACCAATTAAACCGATCAAATTTTCATAACCAATGATCAAAGGTATGGTGGCTAAATATTGATTTTATATATCTGTATTTCATTGGTCAATATCGATTGAAGAGAACCTTTAGTATTAGTATTAGTGATCATTATGTATAATTAATTGTAAAAATACAGTTTTATTTACAAAGTAAATACATTATTATTATTAGCAAATTATTATAAAATTTTTTAACTATTTAAAAAAAATATTCAATTGATAATAAATACATATTTATCATTATCATTATCATTTTAAATAGCAATAAATTGTTGTCAATAAGCAAATTCATAAATAATGTAAATTGAATCATTTTAAAGAATTAATATTCACTAGATCAAAACATTTCCAAATCTATTTTCATCAAAATTCAAATTTTGTAAAATTAAAATTCAAATTTAATAAATAATAAAATTATAAATTATTACCATTAAATATTTTAAAGTATTCACTAGATATATATAATATGTTTATTGATGATAATTATTATAATTTATTCAGTTCTTTGAATTAGATGAACTCCACTATCACTCCAAACAGGTCCACTCAATTCACCAACTTCAAGTTTGAATGCCGCATCTTCAAATGAAGGTTGCATTTGCCCTCTACCAAAAAACCCTAAATCGCCGTTACGTTTTGCACTCGAGCAATCAGATTCGGTCAACGCAAGTTCGCCAAGAGCAATTTCCTTGGCTTTAATTCGTTCATAATAGCCTTTTATCAAATCAAATGCTTCTTCCTTAGTTCGAGTTATCTCTGACTATTATTTATCATTTTATAAATTTAATAATTAAAATAATTTTTCTCATTCTAAAAAAAATTTATAAATAATTTTAAATGACCAACTTGTCTCCAAGAACTAGGTCGCCGACTTTCTCTGTGTTTAACTAACAAATGGCTTGCTTTAATTTGTCCAGCCCCACCATTTACCGGATCAATAGTATTTAACTGTTGTGCTGAATTTTCACTATAACCTTTAATGCTCTGAGGATCTACGCCTCTAGGAAGTTCCCAAGTACTTTCCTTGGTGACTCGATTATAGTAATAAGGCATTTTACGAGAACGAGAAACACGGGTTTCCCATTGCGTTGAAGGGTCAACATCGCTTGTAACAACTTGTGAATTGGTGGTTGTATTTGTATCTCGTGAATCAGTGGTAGTACTAACGTTTTCAGTTGTTTCTCCAAACTTGACATCTGAAGTACTTTCTTCATCATTCACATTTTGGGTATCATTGTTAACTGCTATTTCTGTATTATGTTTTGCAATTTCGTCATTTGTTTGACTTGCCTTTTGAAAATTATTAATATATACAAACAAGTATAAGGAAAAGATTATTTTATTGTTATTGATTAATTTATCAGTTATTCCATTACTTTCCTTCTACAACTACTCTTACCATTATTTCAAGTTTTTTTTTTTTTGGTAAATAATAAAAATAGAAAGGGTTAAAAGCTTTCCAAATTGAATGTTTATATGTATATATATATTAATGTATATACAAGATCAAATTAATTTATATTTCATGCGATAGAATGTTACACCAAGTTACATCAAGCATAGATCGTATAAATTCATAATGGACAATACATTATTATTATTATAATAAATAAATTCCTTAACAATAAAAATTGTCAAATTAGGAAATTGAGAAAGATGCAAATGGAAATTTATATAGTATGATTTATTTCCAGAAATAAAGAACCATGACTAAGTAAAAACAATTGATTAAAGTCAAACAATTGGATAATAAATCCGTCACCTAATAATATAATACATTCAATATTAGCTAATAAAAATTTGACACGCGAATACAATCTAGAAGTTATCAATTCTTCAATAATTTTATAGATTTGTTATACAAAAATATATTTGAGCTTTGTTTTTATTGTTAAAAATAATAATGATAATATCTATTTGAACATAATTATATTATTTAATATAATATTTAATGCATTATATTATTTAATATAACATTTAATACATTATATTATTTTAAATCATCAGCACTTCTTATCATTTGACAACAATATCTCTTTATTATCGCCAAATTTCACATAAAATTCACGATCTAGTCTACAATGATTTTCTTTAATAATAGTGTAAGAATCTGTGTTGTTATTTTCTTTGGAAAAATCTTTATTATTAGTTCCATTTACTTTATCATCATAATCATCTCTTCCATCGTCTCCTTTCCTTTCCTCTTCCTCTACCACATCCACCACATCTAATATTGCTACTGCTGCTGTTTCTGTTGTTGTTTCTACTGTTTCTACAATTACTACTTCATCTTCACTTGTATTTGGTTGATAATTGGTTGAGGATGATGATGATTGAGAAGGAGATGATGTATGAGAAGGAGATGATAATGACGAAGGGGACGAAGGAGGTGGAGACGATGGTGGAGATAATGCTTCTAAAGATTGAACTTTTTTCTTAAGAATGGTTCTTTCAGCCTATAAAAAAATATTTATTTCTTATCAGTTAAATTAAATTAAAGATTTACAGATCATTTATTTATAAATGTAAATTATACTTGTAATGCACGACATAAATTCTCTAACTTCGTTTGTTTTTTCTTTGATTCTTCTATAGTTTTTTGATCTTTAGTTCTCTATAAATATTATACAAAAAAAAATATGAGAAAAGTGTCATTTCTCAACAATTAACATTATTAACAAACAGTAAACGACATACTTCTTCAGCCATTTCCAAAATATTTCGGTTCATAGTTTCACATTTTCCTTTAACAGTGGCATTTTCTTTTTCAAGTTTTTTAGTTTTTTTATTCATCTACTTTTGAAAACACCTATTAATAAGATAGAATTATAAAAATTGCAAACTTTATAATGACGCATAATAAATATTAAAACCATCAAACCTGTTCCATCTCTTTACGAAAACTTAGGAACAGTTCATTACTTTTATTCAAAGTTTCCTCAACTTGTTTAAACTTTTCTACGTATGTGCTGAGTTGTTTACGTAGTTCAACTTCTGTCTTTGTAAAGTTCTCGACTTGTTCTTTCAAAGAATTTACCTTAATTTTATTCATAATAGATAAACAACTTTATGAAATATACTTTTATTTTTATTTATAAATAATAACAATTATTTTTACCTTTACAATTTCTTGATCTGTCAATTGCTTTTGTTGGTGTAATTTAGCTTCATACAGTTGTAATTCCAGATCTTTAGATCGAACAACACTATTAAAATGTTTTTCACGTAATTCGTACTGTTCCAAAAAACTTCGAAATTTATCCTTTAACCTTATTGTATATTAAATATTAATAATAATAACATTATTATCAATTTTAAAATCTAATTTATATATATCTATTTCTCTCAAAACTTAACAATTACATTTCATTATCTTCCGCTCTTTTTTTCTTTTCATCAGTATCTTCTTCCATTTTAGATTTGATTTCCCAAATGGTATTTTCAAATTTGCTAGATAATTCTTCTCTTTTTTGTTGTTCACTTGCTGCCAATCTTTTACTTTCTTCCTAATATATATATCCATCGATAATAATAATATTTATTAATCAATTTTTCAAAAAAAAAAGTCACATTAGTTTAAATTTAAAAATAAAAACCTTGATCCTTTTATTTTCTTTATGTAATTCACGACATATATTTTCAAATTTATGTTTAACCGAATTTGATTTAGCCAATTCATTCTTTGCTAGAAAATATTATTGTTTTTTTTTAAATTACATAAAGATAATCAAAAGACAATCTCATTATTCAATTAATCAATCAGTCTATAAATCGATTACTTGAATCTTTTTCCTTTTGCAACAATTCATTTCGTTTCTTCATCTTTGCGTAATCTCTTTCGAGTCTTTTCATCTCTTGAAACTTTAAAATTTTATCAATTAATTAATAACTACCAATGTAATTACGATCAAAACCATAATCATAACTAAATCGTAAATTAGATAGTTTTCCTTACCAATTCCATATACCTTTGTTGAATTGTATCGATCTTCTCCAATTGATCATCATGTGAATTAATAATTTCTTTAATTTCTTTACTTGCTTTTTTAACAGCTTTAGCTATCAAAATATAAATACAAATAATTTAATATCTCTCTCTTTATCGATATCGAACTTTATTATTTATTTAATTGATGTTGATTATATATCTTACAAATAGCCTTTTCTTCTTCATCTTCAAGTGACGATTCAGTTTCAAGTTGAGAAATTTTATTTTGAATCATATTATTAAGCTCTTGAGGATCGAGTGGCTTTTTTTTTGATGAAGGGGAAGAAGAGGAGACACTACCGCCACCATTTTTTTTAATATTATTGACAACAATAGTAGTAGTAATATTATTATTGTTGGTTGTTGATGTTGTTGATGCTATAGTTGATTGTAATGTAGGTGTTTTAGCCATCAAATTAGCATTAGATTTAGATTTAGACTTGTTATTTTTAAAAGAGTTAATTTTTTGGGGAACTTGGTCACTATTATTATTATTGTTGTTATTTGATGTTGTTGATGTTTTATTTTTATCAGTTTGAACTTTGCTAATGGTGGCATTGCTTTGAGCTTCCATAGTTGGCATTTTTTATAATAATAATAATAATAATAATAGTAATAATTAATTAATTAATTTAAAAAAAAAAAAATTTTTTTTTCCAACGAACAAACTAACTAATCAAACCAAAAAAAAGATCTATCAATATAAAAAATTTTTTTTCTTACACTAATAATAATAATAATAATAATATTTATATTTATTACAATTATAATTAATATTTGATAGAAAGGAATTGCAGGGGTTCAAAATTGTGACACTGTGGGTACCCATCTTTAAAAAATGAAACAAGAAAGCTAGATTTAAAGTTTTGACAGGTTGAAAGTGTTGTTTTCGCTGGCATTTATCTCAAGGTTTTCTTATAACTAGCAGAGAGAATAAGCAAAAAACAATGCGAATAAGCGTATTAAAGTGTGTTCTACAAAGGTTAAGAACCATTTGAAGAAAAACTTTGAAATTTTAGTTGACGTGAAATAATAATATTATTATTATTGTGTTAAATGCACGTAATAACATTCAGAATTATTCAAAATAGTATCTTATTAAATAATCTATTATTGATTTAATAACCTTAACAAAAAAATCAAAAACACATACAAGTCTGTAAATAATAAATTTTTCCCAAGCAATTTTGTTAGTTCGTTATATATTGTTACAATAGTAAGGTAGCTAACTCAATCAATGAAACTGATCAAGATTTATGCATAATGCATACTATAATCCAAGTACCAAGTCTCTTGCCTTCCCACTTATTTTCATAAGGCTGTTTTTTTTTTGAATGCTACAAATACCAAAATTTCCTTGAGCACCCTTGTTTGACACCATGTCTTTGAGCAACAGTGACTTGAAATAGCTTACTTTTGATGGACATAACTATCTATATTTTCAAAAGTTGGCCGATAATATTTTCCTTGTCCTTGTCTAATACCTCTTTAATCTCCTCAACATCATCAAAAAAAATTCTTCTAGAACCTCAAAATCATGAGTTGCTTCAGACACTGTACCATTATCTATGAAATTATGTACCAAAAAGCTTTCTCCTTGACTAGTGTTGTTTGACGAAATGTTACCAAAGTTGTAAACCATTACGTCAAATTCACTGCCACTAAGTCAAAAATGACGCAAGTATAATTGCTTTAAAGGCTAATTCTCAAAAAACTTATAAATATATATTCCAAAGTCTTTTTTTTTTTGCTGAATACAAGTTTAGTTCACACACTCATTTACTATTAAACTCGAACATTCTTTCTTATATTAATTGGTACTAATCGGTACTTGTTCCAGAGTCAACTAATTTTAATGTATAACAAGAATTACCCCAAGACCAGAACGTTTATTAAGTATTGACACATAAAAAATAATTACATTCCATTATTTGTTTGAAGGAACAAGACAGTTAACAATTACAATAAAAAAAATTTTAATTTACAATCTTTTTTTCGTTTTAAGAAATGTAAGAAACTAAAAACCAATTGAACATTACACTTTTAAAATTGAATGAAGCAGAAGAAAGATTAAACGAATTGAAGATAAAGCTAGCAGGAGAGGAATAGGGTGATGTTAAAGAAAAAAAGAAATGGGAAACTGAAGTATATATTCGTGAAGAGGAAAAGGAAGATTTGAAGAGAAGGCGAAATGAATGGGAAAACAGTTGCGAAATTTACAAAATAAAACTGCAGAATTTGAAGGTAATGAATAAATTGCATTAAAAAAAATATGCAAAAATTATTTTTCCATTTCGTTTATTTATTTATTTGAGGTATATTTCATACAACTTTGACTAATATTTTTCTTTGGTTATTTCATTTTTAATTAAATATGCAATCATGCTTTCTTTTTTTATCCATACATCTATAATTGCAATATTATTCCTCTGTTTTATTTTTCATGTTTTATGTAGTGCAAAAGTTAGAGTCAAAGCAAGAAAAAAACAAAGCAATAGAATTCCAATTATTGTTTGAACAAGAAAGAAGGATATGTTCATTTATCACTACCTTGTGACACAAGATGGAATTAATTTTTTCATAGTTATTTTAACTTGTTAAAAACAAAATCTGCACTTAAGTAAGTCTCCATTATACAATGTATTTCACTAATTAATATATGATATATTGTAAATAGCTTATAATTTTATTTATCATAGTCTTTAGTAACTAAATTGAATCCTGAAGACACTTTTATTGTTAATGAAAATGAAGTTATCACATTACCAATAAGGATTTGTAATATTATTGAAAATGGATAAAGCACATTTAGATCATGTATTATACAGTTTTGGTAAAATCGTTCAAATGATACAAAAAATTCCATTGGAAGAATTTAAAAATCAGATGTTGATACAATTGCAAAATTGGTGGTTTTAATGGGAGCAGCCTTTATTATTAATATCTTTCTTATTAAACCCACAATACAAAATGACAAAACTCAATTCCAACAATGAGAAATTAACTCTTCCTAACTTGGGAAAATGGACCATATATTATTATGTTGTTTGGTTTGATGAAAGACACAATAATATTCTTAATGAATTGGAAGATTTTGCAAAAGGAAAAGATCCCTATGATCCTGATATAGCAGAACAATTTAATGATGACCCACTAAAATATTGGAGTTATATGAGTGGTGGTGCTAATAAAGAACTTCTTAAAGTTGCAAAAAAGAGTATTTTCAATAACAGTGACAACTGCTGCAGTTGAACACTTGTTTTCTAATATGGGGCATTTACATTCAGACAGAAGAAATAGACTTGATGTAAGTGACTCAATTGAATATAATATATTGTTATTGTTTGTTGCTGACTAATTTTATTAATATTTATTTAGCATAACAAGGTGTTATCAATGGGTCAAATAAGGAATGACATGAACTATAGAAGAAAAAAGACTGAGATTGATGAATCATGAAAAAAATTCCATTCTGAAAATTATGTTGCTCCAGTTGAGGAATCAGAAATACAAGAAAGTGAAATAAGCAATGAATCTTTTATAGGAGACATTGAAAATGAGGTCCAATGGAATGCAGTGATGGGTCAGTGGATGGAAATGCTGAATGATGAAGTATTAGAAGAGGAAGAAGAAGAAGAATTAAATGAATTAGTAGGTCCAATAGGGTCAGTTGAAAGAATCAAAATGACTAGACACCCAGCTATTAATGGACAGAAAGGAAAATGGGAAATAGAAGAAATCTTTGAATACAATTTAGATGATCCTTCTTTTTATCAAGAATTATAAAATATATAATTTTCTTTGTTATAATTTTTAAAAAATAATGTTTATAATAAAAACTTTTTATCTGTCATCATTAATTTAAATGCTGAAATATGATTGGCTACCCCTTATAATTGGACCAAAGTCCAATAAGTCCAATTGCCAACACTGTCTAAATAAAATGACATGGTTTGGATTCACATTTTGATGCTCTTTAGGTGTATAGAGAGCTTTTTACAATTTTATTTGCATAAAATTTTGTATCATATACATAACTTTCCTTTTTTTTTTAGCTTAAAATAAGTGATATAATTTATATTAAAATTAAAAAAAACTCTCTATAGGAACATTTCCCTATCCCTCTAATATATTTTAAACTTAATTTGGGATGTGTATCTCTGTTCTTTAAAGAGTTATTTTCGTTCAAATTTTACTATTAAAAAAAAGATCAATAAAAAATCCTTCTTAATAAAATTTATATATGTGATCAACTATGTAAATCATATGATGACACCCCAATGTGACATGAACAAACTTCTTTTATGCTCAATGTGATAAACAAGTATCCATTATGCTTATATTAAGAATAAATGCACTGGTCTTGGTGAAATTCTTGCTCCCAATAAAAAAATGAATAAAGGTATTTTTTTTTCCTTGCACAGAAAATAAACTATTTTAAAAATATAAAATCATAATTTAATATTTTGCTTTATAATAAAATAATATTTAGCTAAATTCTATAAAGGTAAATAAATATTTTACAACACAAAATAAACATCATCTAATTAAATAATTTGTTTTTT